TAATACTTTTGGGTTTATTTATTTTTATTTTATATGTATGAGTATATTGCCTGTATGCATGTAAGTGCACCCCTGTCATGTAATGCCCACAGATGACAGAAGAGGGCATCAGGTCCTCTAGAACTGGAGTTACAGTTGTTAACCCCATGTGAGTGCTGGGAACCAAACCTGGGTTCTCTGCAAGAGCAGCCAGTGCTCTTAACTGCTGAACCATCTCTTCAGGCACCACCACCCCCTGTCATGATTTTCTTTAAGTGTGACAGTTCATTGTAATTTCATGTAATCTGTTGCATCTTGACCTTATAAATGCATCATTAAAATTGCTACATTTCCATAAAATTGTTCCTTTTCCATAGAGTAGAGCAACCAGATCATGAGAAATTGCCAGAAAAACGAAGTACTAAATCTTGTTTTTTTCTTTTTGTTTTAATTGTCATCCCATACCTAATTCATCTTCAGAAAACTTGGTCACTTGTGTTTATTGAGCTTCCAGGCACCAATTTAGCTTTCTATAGGATCCATACCTTTTTCCATATCCATATTGCTTTGCTTTACATATTTAACTCAGTAATTATGATAGAATTTGCACCTGACATTAAGCATTCTGAAATGAATATAATAGACATGTAGGCCATCCATGTCCAACCCATGCCATGCATGTTGCCTCATTTACAAAAATGGAAGAGTATAAAAATTAAAGAATCGTCTCAACTGTGAGGGTCTGTCTGCCTATGCAGCATTTTGCTAAAGACAGAAAGGGTGTCACTCAAGGAATCTATTAAGTAGTGATTGAAGAGAAGCTGTCTGTGCTCAGTTAAGACTCAGCAGGAAAGAGATCAATCTTAATACAAAGATTAACTATGCAGAGCAGAGGCCAGAAGAGAAACCAGCATTCCTGTCCTGTGCTAGTTTCATTTCCACCAGTGCATGAAAAAGAATAACCAAAAAAACTTGTCTCTGACATAATATTGCTTTCTGTATCTCCAACAGGAATATGTTCCCTGAGAACCTCGTCCAAGCCTGTTTTCAGCAGGTAACATCAATGACTTTTGCTCTTAAGTTACCCCTCTGTTTCTATTACCAATTAAGACTTTATTTTCTGCCATGACTCAAGACATGGAATTGGCCCATCAAAAATGACAGCAGGAAGTGCTGTGAATGGTGGGGTTTCAGATGACTCGTCTTTCCAGCCGCAGTGAAGTGTGTGTCATGATTTACAGTGCTTCCTTTTCATGAATGCTTCCCCCCAAAAGCTCAAATAGAGAAAATCAGGAGTCTGTCAACAGGTATTATTTATTTATATTTTGGAGAGCCATGCTATATTTGTAAAGAAACCTGGACTTTGTCCAGATGCGATACAGTGGACAGAAGAGCACTCCCTCTCCTTTCCATCCCTCTCATGGTGGCCATCCATGTCAAGCCTGTGTGATATGGCCAGTGTTCCTGGATTAGGCCTTCTCCTTAACTATTGGGTGCATATTGCTGGTGCTCTGCAAAGCGGTGTAGCAAAGCCATGCGTGTTTTAGGGCTGTTTTTCCTCATGAAAGTTTATTATTGTCTTCACTCCATTGAAAAGTCCTTTTCTGTTTATCTATGCATTTTAAGACAGCTGAGTCTATCACAAACTGCTGTATTCATTTACATAAATTACATGAACAGAGACCTCTGTGTAAACCAATAAAAAATGGCAGTTGCTCCTTGCCAACCCCACAAGGCACAGAACCAATTCCATTTCAGGGGTGCCTTTGCAGCTCAGCCACAGTGCTTGTTTGTAAGGATTGGTGTTGGCAGACACCTGTGAGGGGACATTTCTGCCTGTCATCATAATACACTAGCTTTTTCATAAATTGCCATGTCAAAGCTCTAAAGACCTAAACAGGGCTAAAGGAAGAAAATTCAACAGAAATCTCACTGAATAACCCCAAAGAGACTGTTGATCTGAGCACAACCATCTAGTTACACCTTTCTTGAAACATTATCATGATTATTTTATCAAAGCAATGAGGTTATTTTTCCAAATTAAAAATGAGCAATTAGGCTGGGCATGGTGGTGCATGCCTTTAGTCCCCAGGATACAGGAGGCAGAGGCAGGTGGATCTCTGTAGTTCAGGGCCTTCCTGGTCTAGATAGTGAGTTCCAGGCCAGCCAGGGGTACATAGTGAGACCACATCTTTAAAAAAAAAAAAATGAAAAAATAAACAGGGGGCTAGAGACATGGCTCAGTGGTTAAGAGCACTGAGTGCTCTTACAGAGGACCCAGGTTTGATTCCCAGCACTCACATAGCAGATGACAACTGTTGGTAACTCCAGCTCCAGGAAATCTGATGCTTTCTTCTGACCTCCACAGGATTGTAGGACACAGGCGTACTTACACACACATAGGTAATACACTTATGCACACAAAATAGAAATAATAAATAAAATATTTTAAAATAAAACAATTAATAAAAACAAAATGGCTGACAGGAATCTCTCTAGGGTTTGTCTGTGAACATACCTGTCTAAAACTTACTTTCTTTAAATTATTTCTCCATTCATTGGTCCTTTATTAAGTCGGAAGAACACGTTCTGACAGTATTGAATGGTGGCTGTGCGAGTCTGAGGTTTGGACTCTTCACTCCTATTTTTAATTCTCATGGAAACGATCATAAAAACTAGAAGCAGCAGAGGTGGAACCTTCAGGGGCATTTATTTGACCAAAGTAGCATTCCTGTGGTGTGGCCTCAGACACGGAAAATTTTGTCTTTTTCACTCTGTTTCTCTTTATTTTCAATGTGCAGTACAAAACCAAGCGTGAGGAAGTGAAGCCTGTCAGCGATCCAGTGGGGAACATGACCGAGGCACCCGTCACTACCACCATGACAGCAGTGTCTGAGGTACGGTCTGTCACTTGCACCCCTCCCCAGCAGCATGTGCCAGCCATGAGTAGCAGGAGAGGGAAAGATGGTCAGTCTGTTGCTCACAGAGCCCACATGTGTAAGTTTAGCACGCTACAAACTACCTGTAACCCTAAAATCCCCAACACCTAAAATCCGCAGCCCTTCAGGAGTGGCACAAAATTGAGTCACCCCTGGCACCATGTGCTCCAGACTAAAGTTGAATGAAGCAACACTCTGCCTTTTGTTTTGATTTTCAGTCAATAAACAAACATCCATTTTGCTGTGTGTTTAGTACCACTTTTTTCTTCATTTTCTTGTGATTTTGCTGTTTTTGTATTTTTATATTTTGTCTTATACTGAATCAAGAATCTCTATGTGTGTGTGTGCATGCGTGCGTGCATGCGTGCGTCTGTGTGTGTGTGTGTGTGTGTGTGTGTGTGTAGTATTAGGGATTCAACCTTGGCTCTCCCACATGCCAGGCAAGCACTGTAACACTGAGCTATTTCCCCAGCTCTCTTTTTTTAAGTGACTGTACACAATGTTAACTCTCATTATGATACCCTCACAGGCGCACACTATTCACCCCCATTGCCCTTTGTTCATCCTCCTTCCTCCCATTCGTCCTCTCCTCCTCCCTAAGAGCCTCTGTCTACTTTCTTGTTATATACACACATAGATGTGGATGTGACTCTACACTGAGCTACATCCCAGCCCTATACATTTTTAAATCTGGAGTCCAAATATGAGAGAAAACACGCAATATTTGTCTGATTCTGGCATACTTTGTTCCATATGGTGATCTCTAGTTCCATTTCTAATATTTTCCTGCAAATGACATGATTTTCTTCTTATTTTTTAAACAGTGGTAAATAGTTTTTACTCGGGCAATGAAACTAATAAAAATATGTTAGTAATTAGCATAATAATTTCATTTGCATGCGCATACATTTTTTGGACTTTTTTGAGACAGGGTCTCCCTGTAGCCCCAGCTGGTCTTGAACTCACAAGAGATCCTCCTGCCTCTGCCTCCTTCGTGCTGGGATTAAAGGCATATGCCACCATGCCTGGCTACTTTTATTTACCTGGCATAAAAAAGGGAAATTACTATGTATATAAAAATCTATGCGGATGATATCCACACAACACAGTCCTGACAACAGGAATCAATGCTGCAAGCCCCTCTGGATGAAAGGTTCCTTATACATTCAAAGTACCTTTGGGTACACAGTGGAAGCAGATGTGCAATAAACATTTATTTGTTGGCACATTAGTACAATGGGTATCTACTGGCAAACACAAACTTGCTAACAGCAATACTGAAAAGCTGACCTCAACCTCAGAGACTTAAAGAATGCCTGGATCCTGTGCCAGGGGTTGCAGAGGACCAGACTGAGGTTGCAGGTGTAACCTGTGCACTACCCTGTATCTGGATTGGATGCAGCTTCAGAGTTCCAATCTTTATTTGTCCACTTGAAAATTATTCATAATTACAGAATAGAAGTTATGGATGTGAGAAGGGAGCACATTTGTTGAGCATATTTAGATAGCACTAAAGACAGGGAAACAGAGTGGCATCTTGAGGGTTACCTGGAAGATAAGATATAAGGGAGGTTCAGGCCACACCTTGGCCCATGCCTGACTTCCTCTGAACAATTAAAGCATCATACAGATTGTCAAAAGCCAGCATTGCACGCAGCATCTCCATATTAGAACTAGAACCAGAATATATGTGTTTACATAATAGCTGAAACTGTACTACAGTTAGTAAAGTCATTCCTTAGGAATCTTATTTGTCCAAATCTCACTATCTAGCTGCATGCTAGGAGGCACAGAAACAGGATTGCATCTGGACAGGAAACTACAAAAGTGCAGTTTTTAGTCTCTGCAGTGTGAGTTCTGGCACTGCGGAGGGAGTGGGTCTCCCTGGAGAGAGCCGTGCGCTTGCTCCTGTATTGTTTCAAAGGAGATCCCAGGGAGAAGAGCAAGTTGTACCAATCTGTTTACCTCAGCTCCCAGACTCCCTGACTCCCCAACTCCCCATATGGGACAGTCAAGGATTTAGTAGAAAATTGCTTTTTTGTGTGTGATACTGGGGCTGGAATCCATGGACTTGCACGTGCTCAGCAAGTGTGTCACCAACTGAGCTACATCCCCAGCACTGGTAAATTGCTTTTTTAAAAATGACAGGAATCTGGAGGCCAGTCAAGCCTTTTTGAACAGAAAACTCCTTGAAATAACTTTTTATTATTAAAATTTCTGAACGATGACTTCTTAGACTTTTGGCTTGGCATTCTGGGATTCCTAGACTTTATCTGTTTTTTTATAGTAATAGCAAATAGTAACCTATTACCTTTAAGTCATTCTTCTTTATCGCTGAATAAAATTCCACTGTGTATATATAGGACATTTTCTTTATCCATTCATCTGTCAGTGGGCACCTAGGCCATATTTTTGCTATTGTGGATAGTGCTGCAATAAACATCAATGTGTAGGTATCTGTGTATTATGGTTACTTTGATTCCTTTGAACATATGTACCCAGGAATATAGCTAGATCACATCTGCAATGTCCCCCACATCTTTGCCAGCATATGTTGTTTTCTTGATGATAACCATTATAACTGCGGTGAGATGGAATCTCAGTGCACTTTTAATTTGCGTTTCCCTGATGGCTAAGGATGTTAAACATTTTGTTTCATATATTTATTGGCATTTGTGGATTTTGCTAAATAAAATAAGTAGAAGCATAGTAATAAAGTACTCTCTAGTATTCTTAAGTACAAGAGGGTTGTGATGTACCTTGTAGAGGAAATACTTGTGTTAAAGAAGCTTCATTCAGCCTTGAGTTATAGTCCTGTAGGCAGTCAACTCAATGCTAATGAATTACAATGTATTGTAAACAAAGTGTTTTTAAATAGAAACACACACTAAACAATGTTCTGTACTGACTTTGATGTAAATGGTTTGTGTATTTCTCCTAGGAACACTAACTCGGTGTTCATGGGAACTTTTAGAACATGACTGCTGGGAATAAAGACCATCATCTATGCACACAGAGAGAAGAATGGGTTTGGTTGTCACTGTACCTTGGCCACTCCATGTGGTTGGGCACCTCGGGGACTGCGTTAGGTTTACAAGGCTATAAATGCAGATTACAGGCCCTGGCGCCTTGACTGACTCTCTTCTATCCAATTCTGAGTCCAAATCTTCTTGATTGTAGAAGGGCCCTATATCATGTGTGCTGTACAGCATGTAACTTTTATAAGTGGGGTCTGACAGCACTCTAGAATCAAATGCCATCAATATTTCTGCATCGAACTCATGAATATTTTGCCAAGTAAGAGAAAGAGATGATCAATGGCCTCATCTCCATTTAGAATAGTTTTTTCCATGAGAAGAGTATGCCATAAAGTTATCAGTAAAATCAATGAGCTTTGAGAGTTTTTGAGATTTCATAATTGGAGATTGCAATTTATGACTCTGAAGTGGTATAAGCCCACAGAATTCTGAATGTTCTTTGCCTTCACTCAAAAAGGAAAGATTTGCTTTGGGTTTGATCCTGAGAGAGAGAGAGAAGAGGGAAGGAGAGAGAGAGAGAGAGAGAGAGAGAGAGAGAGAGAGAGAGAGGAAAAAGAATATTCAACCCGCTTGGGAATTTAAATTAAAGCTGGGTGTGATGGTGTATCTGTAATCCTAGCACTAAGGAGGTTGAGGCAGAAGGATCATGAGTTTGAGGCCAGCCTGGGCTACCTAATGAATCCCTGTCTAAATAAATAAATAAAATAGGAGGCTGGAGCAATGGCTCAGTGGTTAAGAACACTTGCTATTCTTCCAGAGTTCAATTCCCAGCACCAATATGTTGAGCTCCTCACAGCTGCCTGTAACTCTAGGTCCAGGGGATCCAACGTACTCGTCTGGCCTCTACAGGCATCTGCACACATGGCATACAGTCACACAGACATAGACATACACATAAATAAAAAAGTAAAAACAAAGAAATAACTAGAATTCAAATTTAATAGGCCACAGTTTGCTCCCTGCCTCCTACTGCAGAAAGCCTTAAGTTCTCCAGCTATGGTTAGAGGCCCTCTGTGGCCTGGGTTCTCCTGAGTTTTCCCAACCTACCTCCCAGCCCCCCACCCCTTGATCCACCTCTTCACTTGCTCTTTATTCCTGCCTTCTGATGTGGTTCCACAAACATTTTTCTGAGCACACTCCGTGTGGGAGGCCCTGCTACACACTGGGACTAGAATATGAAAGAACAAATATGGCATCTGACCTTAGACAAGGGATGATGTATGTTGACATCAGGAAGAACAGGTTGCTCTGGGAGCATCACCCGGCAAGGCTAAGTAATCTTGGGGGCCATAAAAGCTGAGGAAGAATTATTCAAGCAGGTTGCAGAGGCCCAGTACACCATGCCTTCTGTCTTTGCCTTCCATCTTTCTGGAACATGCTTTGTCTCTTGGCTACATACTCCTTACCTAGCTTTCCCAACCCCACAGACTTCATTTTGTGTCGTAGTCTCTGTGTGACCCTGTGTGGCTGCATGGTTAATTACAGTCCATCTTCCTATTGGCTTGTGTTTCTCTCAGCTTGTCTAGTGTCGTGGGTTACATTTTAAGACCTTGTGCTATAGCCAGTGCAGTTACAGTATTCTAGCTGCTCCATAAACATTTGTTCCATCATAAATAAGAAATGGCTGGTTCCCCAGTGGCTCATTAGTGTAATTCTTTATAGACCTGGTCTGCCCTACTCAGATTTTGTTTTCTCTTAGTAAATCTCATGCTACTTTTGCCCAGAGTAAAGTGAAGAAATGATTCACAGTAGCAAATATCTGGCTAGTTTTTATATCTTTAAAATCTGTTGGTCACACCAGACTGAAAGCACTGGAGTGTCCCTCTGCTTCATTATCAAGGCAGGACAGATGGTAAAATGTCCTGCAAATGTTCATGCTGCTGACTATTATGTACTTCCTGCGTTATTAATTCCCATCTTTTTAAAAAGCAGCCTTCAAATGCAGCTAGTAGTTAACCCTCAAAAGTTCCCTGACTCTAAAATTCATCAAAACGTAAAACATGACAGAATTAGAAAATTTGCAGACATATTCACAGATGGGCTTGTTAAGAGAAGAAAACAAAACAAACAAAAAAAAACCAAACCAAGTGCTTAAACTTCCATGACAGGGTGAAAGCACTTCATGTGCGGGTTTCCCTTACGCCTCTTCTGACTGTGATTATGGCCAGCTTCAGTGTACTTCTTGGTTTCGATCCACAGAACAAGACAATGGAATACAAAATTGTCGGCCTGTATTCAGACGGCATCAACGTCCTGGGCTTGATTATCTTTTGCCTTGTCTTTGGACTCGTCATTGGAAAAATGGGAGAAAAGGGGCAGATTCTGGTTGACTTCTTCAACGCATTGAGTGATGCAACCATGAAAATTGTTCAGATCATCATGTGGTGAGCAGTGCTGGTTAACACTATTTTGCATCCAGTGATAGTGTTGTCTTCTCAGAAATAGAAAGTGGGTCCCTTCTAGAGACTGCAGCCAGTTAAAATCAAGACCCTAGAATATTAGCTAATTCCACATTCTGCTCAGGAGTTACTTTGTTCATGGAAGTCTAGGGCCTGCCCTTGTCTCCCTGAGAGTCCTGGGAGAGCCTCCTGCTCCCACCCAACATTCCTATCAGAAGCAATAGAGCATTTTGAAAGAGTACCTGGCATTTCTGAACTCAAAGCACTTTTCTCCTTAGACCCCATGCAGAAATAAAGTTTAAAACATATTCAACTGCCCTAGCTTGGGCATGGTCACATCTGAACGACAACTGCTGTCATCTGAGCATCCAGAGATACCACCTGCATAGATGTCCTGCCTCTGAGATGCCCAGAAAAATCCACCTTTCCTAGGAGACCTGTGCCTCCCTTAGCTTGTGGAATTGGTTCAATATTTCATAATCCAAAGTGTAGACATTGACAGTGATATAAAAACAGCCATGGAAGTCACTTAATTCCACTAAAACCTCTGCTTCATTGTCTATAAGGATAATAAAAACTGCCCCCAGGGCTAGAGGAAGCACATTAAGTGAAATGATTCATATAAAGTGCTTTCCCCAGCACATTACTGGAGCTTTGTAAATGGAACTATTGTAACCATGCGCACTGCTGCTACTATTGCCCCTATTGGTGACACCTGGGAAGCAAGATGTCCATGTCTGCAGAGAGCCTGGCATACAAATTTTGCTCAAGTGAGATAAACAGATATTAACGGTCAATAGGATGTTTTGCATTGTATATGCGTGTACATACACACCTCCTTGCCAAGTTTAGTAAGTGCCCTTAATTTGAGGTGAGTAGAATTAAAGAAGCATGCAGGTGCTGAAGACAGTCGTGTACCCCAACATGAAACTGAGCCCTTGGCTTTGCGCTGTGCCGTGTGCATGCATGCTGAAGATGGCTGTGCTGGCTTTTTCCTTCCCCACAACCTGTCTGGAAAAACCCTCTGATGACTGAATCCTGTCTTTCTTGTGCTTGCTTTCTAGCTACATGCCAATTGGTATTTTGTTCCTGATTGCTGGGAAGATCATAGAAGTTGAAGACTGGGAAATATTCCGCAAGTTGGGCCTTTACATGGCCACCGTCCTGAGTGGGTATGTCCAACTCAAGAGAAGAAACAGAAACCTCACTGGGTGCAATAGTACTCCTGTAGAGAGGGCAGGGTAAAGCTGGTTAAAGGCGGCTTTTCTTCTATGTGCAAGGAAAGATGGGGTTCACAGATAAGAGAGCAGAGAATCAGAGCTAGCCTTTAACAGCTGGACCATTGGTGGATCGTGCTGTGCTAATTGGCAGCTCTTGGCAGAACAGCTTAGACCAGGCTTTGCCACAGCCTTTATTGGTTTTGTTTAAAACAAAAGAGAAACGTACTTGTAGCCCCTTTGAGCTGTCTCCTGCCCTGTGCTCCCTTAAGATGGCAACTAATCAAATAGGTAAGAACACCTCCCACATACCCCGACTTGGAAAGAAATTAAGACGGGCCTAAATGAATTCCATCTCTATTAAGTAGGAACAGGAGGGCCGGTTTGGTTCAGATGTTATTGCTGGGCTGGTAGCTACCTTCTACCAGCCCTGCTCTGGAGCTGCTGAGACAGGCAGTGCCAGGACAGTGACACAGTAGAGATCTGTGCTAACCAGCCATTTCATAATGGGGCTCTGTTGAATTCATGTCTCTTTCCCTATTTAGGTTTCTAACAGATAACTAAAAAGTCATAGCTACAAGCTCAGGATTCTCAGTGTTGAGATCT